AAATTGAAACCCCCCCCCCCCCCCCCCCCCCTTCCAGCTCTTTTTTTGACCCTTTGCAATTCTTTTTGTTCGTCGTTTTTTGCGCTTTTTTCGTTGTTATCGCTTTATTCTAGAGTGGTTCTATCAATTCTCGTCAAAAAAGGCCCTAAATTTATTGCTAACGATGCCTTTAATAGAGACTTGCTCGAATCATTGTCATCGCCTCAAACCGTCAAATTTTCAGGAAACATTTTTTGCAGTATCGTTTTGCTTGTGTGTATTCTAGGCTAAGAAGTTTTCAGTAACTCTGAGAGTTTCTAGCCATCTCGCAAATGAAAATTCACTGTCAGGCTAGTGGTCGTCTTTAATCTGCCGTAGCTTTTTCCATTCAACATACGATTACTAGGAGTCCAATCTCATTCTTTTACATGATTTGAACAAGTTTGCCAGAAATTCAGAGCTGTTCGGTCATCTTGATCAAGGTTGGTACTCGGCTTCATTTCACACGGTCTGGGCTTTTTCTCAAGTATTCCTCCTGAAACGGTGGTCATCGCAATGTGCAGTGATTGGGAATGAGCGAAGTGGGTGTTACGGAATGTTCAAAGTGGGAAGGGGAGGAGTGGTTGTCTCTGATAGGACTAGCAAGACGTCTGAAATATCATTGCGTAGAAAAGGAAAAAGTTTCAGAGCTGCCCCCACTAGTTCTAATTTGAACTGTCACAGCGAAGCCACAGATCCCCTGGTACCGTTTGCTCTTTTTCTCGCTCATGATCGTCATGGTGATACCCGATCCTATGAAGGCTGATTGCTCCGCCCATTTCCCTGAAACGACCAGCCTCATAAGGATCTTTGCTGCTTCCTCNGTCTGGAGATGAAGCCATACATTTTTATGCAGAGAAAGGAAGTAAAGGGATGGATTCTAAATTGGGTGGCAAAGGACTAGTTTCTTGATAGCCCTTCAGTTTTTTTCTCTGGCAAATAGGCCTAGAACCAGCATTTCCATTGTTGCCTAAGCTCGAACGGAAAGCTATTTCTAGGTGGATTCTATGAGGTCGCTGCTTTTTGGTTCGCCAAGTTTCTGCAACGACTACTCAAAGACCGGTGTTTTGCTTGTGTTTGTTCACCCGTCCCAAGCATCTGCTGAGCGATTTGTGGTGGACTAGTTGATGAGAGTCGTTTCTCCCCGTGGAGGTTCGTCCCCGTGGTTGTCCCTGTCGAGAACGGAATTATCCCGATGATTACTCCACGAATGTTTTTTCTGATTTCTGTTCAAGTGTTTTTTTTCTTGACTTCTCATGTGTCAATAGGTTCACTTTGAATCCGAAATAGCATGATCATCCGAAATTTGTTTTTTATTCCGTATCATGCCCGAAATGGCGCCATGAATAGTATGGAGGGGGTCACTCTGAAGAGTTTCTCGAATCGAAACTGGATTGACTAGTTTTCGTGCCAGGAGAGGTTCAGTGGTTTGTTGTTCACCATCGCCGACTCCTTTATGGGAGGGATAGGGTGGTCGTAATGTCATTTTATTCCCTAAATTGCTTTTCCGTGAAGCAATAAACTGCCTTACTTACGGTGATTGAGGGTTTAGAGTTGGTAGAGATTTTTCTTTTCCTGACCTTCACTTTGCTTCTATTTTGTATAGTTTATACTTAGAGTTAAGTTTTTCCTCTGAACCAGTGATCTTCGGACATCTATGCCTGTGTCGGTTTACCGAGTGTCGAGTTTGAGTTTTGAGAGTATTTCTGAAAATCCACAAGGCTAATATTGCCTTAGTACGATCGTTTCCACCGTATCGCGTTTTGTTCATGTGTTTGCTCTGAAAAAGGGGGTTGATGATTCACTGAACAATCTTCTCCACAACCGGCTCAACACTGTTCCTCGAATTCCAAATTCATCGTCATTGACGCCATCGTTGGCTCTTGGGTTGTTCCTTCGAGCGCCTATAACTCTTTCGCTTCCCCCTCCCCCTCTTTCCCTTCTTTCCGCCCAATGGGTCCCCCTGGCTCGTCGCTTCGAAGTTTCGTGTGATTTATTTCCAAATATGAGGAATTATTGTTGCATGAGTCAGGAATGATGTATGAATGGAATTTCAGCTTCACCCCTCCTCTTTGTGTTTTCCATCTTTTCTGTTCCTTTTTCTTTCCCGATATTTATTCTCAAGCTTTGGTAGGCACCAAAGTTCCTCAGTACTGCTTCTGAGCACAGGTTTACTGTTTGGTCTCCTGTGAGCGAGCCGTGGTACTGTCTTTATTTACAATGCATAGTTCACAGGAACGTCTCACAAGGTTGGCCATTTATGGAAAACTTCAGTCTCGGACGGGACTCGAACCGTGCTTGTCCTTCCCAGGGACTGTGCTCTTATCCCGTCCACTACCGAGACCGAGCCTGCTCTTACGAATGCTTCTGATTGATTGCTTCAATTGGTAAAAAGATAGACATGCTCTGCTCTTTTTTGGAGACAAGAGCCAAATTCGGTCATGAAAGTTTTCCTATTGAACTAATTTCATTCTATTTTGCTTTTGGTCAAAATTAGAGTAATTTATTGGAATGTTTTTGAATATTTTCTAAATTTTAATATTTCTAATGATGTGTTCACAGACTCTAACGTTTAACGAATTTTATGACACTTTTTTCAAACTTATTCGAAAAGTCGTGAAATCGATTTTCCTCAATTACAGTTACAGCAGTTAAGGAAAACTAAAAAAAGCCAGCGGTTACTGGTTACAGCTTTACTTGCCGGTACTACTTTTTTATCTCTCAAATTAAATGTGACACTCACCACTTCTATGTTTGCACTTTTCAAGCTCCTTGCTAAGAAAAAGCTTTTGTCTTATTACTAGGTTACGTTGTGTTGTCAGTTATAGCACATGTTCCCACTTTTGCCAATTGCAACGTTTTCAATGAATAAATTAATTTTAATTAAAAAGAAATTCGTAGAGTGCTCTCCTACAGAACTTCTGGACTCTCGCAAATGTAAAAGTATAGCCGTTTTTATTCCGTCACCTCAAGTTTTTCTTTGGTTTCAGTTTCTAGAAGTGTTTTTCGGTGAACCGATTTACAACCTAAGTTGTGGCAGCCGTCGAATTCCTTTTATTTCTGTCTTGTTTTGCAAATTATTTGTGATCAAGAGATGTGTATTTATAATCAAAAGGTGTAAGAAACCGGACCAAGATGTAGCTTTTATCGGTCACCGGTGATGCGTGATCTCATCTGCAAATTGTTTGTCGCCACACACGTAAATCACCTGCTTTTTCAAATGATTTATGTACGTAAATGGCGACGTACAAATTGCTTGACGAAGGCTCAAAATAGGTCGGTCCGTGATGAATGCTGAAAATTGGGTAAAGGTTCTGTGCGTAGTGGGGTTATTAATTCAGTTTTCTAGTTTGTCATTGGCCAAATAAACTGCTTTCATAGGTAAACATTGTCAAGAAAGCAATCCAAACCCTCTAGAAACAC